AAATTTGTGATTTTTATTATTATAGACACATAAATGTTTAAAGCTTTATTATTGTGTAAATGCATGTGTATATGTGTAAGATAGGCCCTGCTAGGAGTTAACTTTTTTTTATTTTTATATTATAGTTAGTCCCATTGTATATACTTTACGGGCTGGGACGCCCTCTTACAAAATGGGGAGGAGTGTAGTGGTCCTGGAGGAGCTGTGGACCATTTCCCTAATAGTCTCCGATCACGTGTCTGGCAATGATGAGGACTATGACGTAACTCTCAATCTCTTCTGTGCTGATTGTCGACCCGACAAGACGTGTTACTTTATCTCTGTAAGTCATTGTATTATTGTCACATATTTTCGGCGACCACTAACTTAATAAACGTTCAGAATTTTACTCATAGTATTTCTGTCTTGTATCCGCCATCACATTAATTTAATTTATAGCAGAAATACTATAGCTGGGATCTTTTTACTAAATTGAACAGTATGCATAAAACACTGGATATTACTAGTAATTTCTATTTTGTGACTTCGTTCTTTATACAATGTATGAATTATGTATGTTGTAAGACGTCTTTCAGACCATCCGCATTTCCTCGAATATGTGTAAACACACATACAGCTCCATGTAGGTGTAAAATTTGCCGCAGCATGTAATCTAAAACACCGATTGTTAATAAGAATTGGAATATTCAATTATGATAATCAATCGATTGCCTCCATCAATAACTCATGAGGAGAGATGTGATGGAAATTGGTGATTCTTATTTTATTGATGAAATGATTTAATAAGGAGGGGGCCATGAGTGACATCTGTCTATCCAGGAAGATGCATAGGGAAGCCAAATGTCACTAACAAAACAGTGGGCATTGTCAAATTCAAGTGGTCCAACAGATCCACTAGCACATGGTCCGTGTGTCACCTAGTACCAACAGGACATAAACTTGGAAGAAATGAAGACAATGAATGGAGAATTTCTTTCTCACGGGAGGAATGTACACTCGTTAATGCCATAAACAATTGCCATTTCTTAACCTACGGTTTGCTCAACTTTTTTTAAAAGGAAATACTGAACAATGGATTAAACGACGGTGATAAATTACTTTGTTCCTATCACATGAAGACAGCAATTTTTTGGTAGATAAATATTAATCCTCACTGGTTTCCACAAAATTTCTTGGCGTGTGTCTGGGTCTGTTTTAAGCTAATCCTTAAATGGGTGTATGAAGGGGTCTCTCCAAACTTCTTCATTCCAGCAAATAATATGTTTCTGAGTAATATTCATGGTGCAGCACAAAAATATTTATTCATTAGATTGTATGACTTGTATAAGAAAGGGTTTGCATTCCTTCGACACAGTCCCTCTATTAGATCTTACATTATTTCTTCCATTTATTACCCTAAATACTCTATCCAGAAACTATGTACAGATGACCACACTCTGATATCTTAAAATGAATTTGACATGGAGTTGTTTACAGAAATACAAAGTTATGATTCAATATTAATATACCAAACACCTCTACAGATTTGCATAATGTACCTACAAAAAATAGAATGGTTGATTGGTGCACATCTAATGACAAAATATCAAATAATTATGGTTCAGAAATTAACAGTCTCTGTCCTTCAGAACCTTGCTTTTACATTTCAATTACACACGATGAGTTGTGAATCTGAAAACAAACTGAGGTATAGAGCTGACAAGATTTCGTGTAATATGCTCAAGTTATCAGCAACGTTTGGTTGTATCTCTGACTTGTTGCTTATAGCTATGTATTATTACGAGACATTTAGATACAAGAAAGCTTTATCAATTATAGACGTTGTAAAGCTTAAGTTAGCACACCCATGTGTAATGTATAATATAGATGCAGAAGTATATAGAGGCAGTAGGGGGACAACTTTGGTTTACAAAGATGCGACGCGCTGTAGCACGAGATGTTACACTTGAAAACATGATCCATTATAGTTGTGAATTATTACCAGAACAACAGTATGGTCTAGAGAATACGACTTTTTCCTTATCTGTCCCACTCTTTGTGCTGTTGTAAATGTTAGAGATTCTTTGTTGCAGACATGTAGATACAATTAAAGCACAAACAGCTCTAGATGATCTACAGACCCTAGTTCACTATGATCATGGACATCTGATACATAGAGATTTTAGAGACATATCGTGGCAGATTCTTGGAATCTGTCAACAGGTTACAGGGAACTTCTAGGATGCTTGGCACTCATACATGTACCAACAATCTCTCAGACAAAGTCGTTTAACAAATAGAATACAAACAGCTACAATAATGAGGATACTAGATATTTGTCGATGAAAATCATTGAATTATAACTTAATAAATCTCAAAAATTGATATATATTATATTATTTATTGAGGATATATATCTTATATCCTGATTGACTTACGATTTTAAGATATGCTTTACAATTTTACTGCTAGTGACTAAAAACAAGGAAATGGTGCTGTCTGTAGAAAACTAGGCCAATGGATAATTAAAGTACTTGTCTCAGCTTTATTTGAAGCAGTGTTTGATAATATATTATCTCTGTTGATTTGATGTTGGATTTACAAGAGTTTTTATTGCATAATAAAGTTAATAGATTCTAAAAATTCTTCTTTTGCTTACAAAAAGATTTATGTGTCTGATTAAATCACTTAAAGGGGTAATGGAATTCATGTTATCCAGTGTAATTTTACAAGGCAACTGAAGCTAGGTTTTTGCTCATACAAACAACAATTTATAGTTAACATCACATCCATATAAAAGTTACACAAACACCAGCTGGTTTGATGGACGGATTTGATGACTCAAAATTAATAGTTAAATCAGAAATAGGGGAGCTAACTCTTACAGAATACATCACTGAAAAAAGTTATTTGTGAATACAAAACATTAGTTGATCTCCCCAAATATATCAAATTCCATTAAGAATACCCTTACGGTAACAAAATGGACGGAGAAATGGAGATAACGAACAGTATTCTATATCAAAGTCCATTAAACAATATAAAACTGGAGCAGAGCAAACATGGACCTCTAAAACATCAGGGATCAGGTGCAATGGAGGAGTGATGGGATCAACAAGCATCAATAGGAAACTTTGCTGTAGCATTATACTTCACTCCGAAAAAGGAAGGAGGGATGTATTCTATGAGCCTGCATAAAGGCAGGCAAACATACTGTACAAAGGGTTATTTTCTCACCGTGTTATTTTCGGTCTTTCACACTTGGTTTCAATTTGGCCCCGTTTACAAATCACCCAATCACAGTTTTTATTTAAGAAATTTTCTGTGTTCGTAAAATTCGCCCCGTTTTAAATTCACCCACTTGTGACAAGGGTGAAGAAGGATATGGAGATAACGAACAGTATTCAATCTCAAAAGCCATTAAACAATATTCAACATAAGAGCAGAGGTAAAAGTGGCGAAAATAAAACGGGCAAAAATTTCCCTTTATACAGTAAATGTATATATGTACAGTTATATAATCAAATAAACATATATACGCCATGTTTAAACAGATGCCAAGATTTCCCCAGCATATGGTTCTGTGAGATTTAAAAAAATAACAGGTAATCAAAGCTTAGAGTGCCTCCATCAGGTTCAAGTTTTTTGGTTAAAAAGAAGTTGCAAGACTGGAAAATCATACCGTATAACGGAAATTTGTATCAGGGACCTAGCAATCATTTAGCGGTTTTGTCGGTCGCTGCTAAGATATTTAATCGCCAAATTTGCACTCTGTAATATCAACACTGAGAAAAAGAAAAAATCACTCAAACAACTTTGAAAAGTCTGCTGTATTTAGAATATAACTTTCATCTGGTATTGTTTTACCAAAACCTTTGTGTAAATCGGTATTCAAAAATATATTAAACAAAGTGAATAATATCTAAAAGTTGAGTTTCTTCTCTTTTACATTCTCGGGGAACTCTTGTGTCCCAAAAAAGGATCCGTCAAAATGTATTCGAATAGCAAGAAAACCGCTAAAGAAACGGTATATCATGCCTTATCACATGTTTTTTTTTGTTTTTTGTTTGTTTTTTTTTACATTTTTATTCTACATAAATGGCAAGCGTAGCAGGTCTTCTTCGTTTTAATTGCAACTGGGAATAGCATGATTTTGTATTCTAACTTCAACATCAATATCAAAACGTACGAAACGATATTTCTATACAAATCCCCACCATAAATACAAACCAGGGTTTTTGACACCATGTGCTTTTTCAGTAAAACTAGAATTTGTATATTTTCTTACCTTGACATCGGTCATTGGCAAAATAAGATTTTTAAAAACATTCTGGTTCTACACTTAAGTACTTTGAAGTAAATGCTAAAAGATGCTTAAGTTTTTGATTGACAATCTGTTTAGCTTTTAAAGATCAGGTCTTGTAACAATTTATCGGAATTCCAAAGGGTACTAGTTAAGCCACATTCATATACATGTTTTTAAATTCATATGATGCAGAAATTGTTCAAAAACATATGCATAGGAAGAAGAAAACACTTGTTGTAATCTTTATATCTCGACATTTAAAAATATCAACGATGCATTACCAATTTAAAATAGAAATTTCTCTTCGGATGTCGACTCTATGTATCCTAGTGAACTTGAAATAAAATTTAGTGTCTGCTAACGATGTTTAATCGTTAATGTTTTTATTAATGTACACTATAATGGCAAACAACTAAATTTTATGTCAAACCAGATGACTTTTCTATTGTCAACCTTCACTTGCACACGATGTTAACATCCTAGAGCTACTTATTTGATATTCACATATTTGTATTTGTTATTCTTTTTTTTACTTTTCATAGTCCAATACCTAAAAATTTAATTAGCTATTGTTTCCCCAAGGGCTCGATGATTCCAAAATTTAGAATCTATACTACCTTGTAAAGCCTCCACGCAAGTTTCAATTTGTCTGGTCGAGTGAAAACTTTGACAGAATATTTTACTTTAACACAAGGAATGCTAATAAACTTTTTTTATTGCGTAAAATTTATATGCACATTTTCTCTTCTTTACCTATTCATTCCAAAGGTTGTCTACAAAAAAGAAACAACATTTTTTATCCAGCTATTGTTGCGAGTTAAAAGTTTGTATACTTGTTATAAAAAATAAAGAAACCAAAATACGATCCAAATCCCCGAATTTAAAATTAATGATATCAAATCTCAATGATAATTTTTTTTCATGATTTGTTGTCTAATTCATTAACGTACCAAAGGTTTCACAAATAAAGCGCAGCTTGTGTTCACACTCATTCCATTGTCCTCTTTTGTGACCTGGATAGTTCATTTGTGCATAATCCTCACCAACACTGTCCGGTTGTCTTGGCATCCAGTTTGTGTAGGTCACTGGCTTTCCTGTTGAGAAGAACCACCATCTTCCTTCCACAGACAGGTCGTTTAAATCCAACCATAATTCTTCTGCATAAACAAATTATTTAAACAAGAATCAAATAAAGTAGACTCTGTGGTGTTTTTTTTAAATAAATATTATATATCGAGTCGATATATGAATGAAATAACTATTGTTATTGATAAATCGTAGTTTATTTGTCTGAATGTCGTACTGAAAGCTATATCATTTTTTTTTCCTCTCATGTAGAAGTTTTTGAGTAAATATTTCTTCCTAAAGAAGATTGAAGTTGGTCGGCTATTAATAGCTGAAATATTATCTGCTCTCTTAGTCATTTTTAAAAGAAAAGTTATATAGATATACCTCTGGAGAAAGTTTTTACTAGCCACTCATTTTCTTCCTTATTCTCGATTCTTACTAAGGTAGCTTTTTGTAATCTGCAGAACATCTGACAAAAAAATTCATTAGTTTGTATTTTTTGTTGCTCATATTTTTTTTTGTATAAAAGAAAAAAAAGTGTATCTTGCTTGAGCTCAAAACCAGTCTTGTTTTTGAGCAAACTCTCTGTAGCAGTGTCCTCTGAAACGCTTCCAGCCGTTCTTACAAGTTCCTGTATAATTAGTTCATGACATAAATTGCTTTCTACCAATTGCAAATATACAAAGTGTGTAATACAAATTTATCACCTACATACGGAGTTTATGTACATGTATCTCAGTTGATTCGATACGCAAAATCATTCTCTACGTATGAACAAATTCTAAAACGAGGTACAAAATTAACAAACAAGTTGATGAAACAAGAATTTCGGTTGTCTCGTTTAAAGTCATCAGCTTGTTAGTTCTATGCTTTATACAATGACCTTGTCAGCAACTACTTTTTTTCATTGAGTTAAATGCTGACTGTCCGTGTTTGCTCTGCTCTTATTTTGTACTGTTTTATGGACTTCGATATAAAATACTGTTTGTTATCTCTATATCTTTCATGCAAGTAACATAACAGAGAACTTTTTACAGAACTCTGTATGTATCACACCGTTAAGAACCGACTTCGTACACCAAAAAAAATTCCTTAATGAAAAACTTCATGAAAAAAACCCAAACATTTCTTAACCTTTGTTTCTATCTTTTCCCGTCAGTTGTTTGACGCTGATCTCAATCTGACGCAATGTTGAAAGCATTTTCCCATCACATGAACTACTTTGACTAGATTGACAGCCGCTAAATGTACATCCGCGACCGGAGCACTCAGTCTCAAATACAGCAGACTACAAATACAAAAGTAAAAAAAAAATTAATTGAAAACATTTGTTTTGTCTATGTGTGAAGTTTCATTCCATTATAAATAGATTTAGTGAAATTCATATTAATCAATTAAAAATCAACATGATCTGCCACTATGGATCTCGCTCAAAAACATTGTAACGTCAAACACAACGTCGACAAAGTTTCCCAAAACTGTGTAATCGACTAAATGGTTTCATTCGAATTAATTTTCAAACCCCTATCCAATTTTCATGAGTCTGGAGAGATCAAATGAAAATGTTCCAAAGAATGTTACTTTGTTTTTACATTCTTTATAGTAAGCTTTCTCGTCTTTATAAAGTAATTAACGACTGCAAGAAATTGGTAATTATTTCTTACCTTCAACATCCTGTTTTGTTTCTGAATGGACGTGAATAATTTGAAATGGAGATCGGAAATGTTATTTCTCAGTAGATCATTAGTAGTTACAGCTGCTGCTGAACCTCTTAGTTCTACTCCAATAATTAGTACAATTGATAGCATCTTACTTCTAATCGCCATGACTCAAAACCAACAGGGCTATAGAAATATTCTTATTCCTATTTATATAGTTCATACATTCTTGCTCCTCGGGGAAAATTGTCAAGTTGCGTGTAATATTCGACATTTGAAAGAGAACAATAACATGCAATTATCTCATTATATTTTAAATACATGTTTATAAGATACAATTCGTGTGTATGAGTTTTAAAAGTAATGAAGGATCAGGAGATAACGAACAGTATTCAATCTCAAAGTCAATCAAACAATACAAAATAAGAGCAGAGCAAACACGGACCCCCGAAACATCAGAGGTGGGATCAGGTGCCATGGAGGAGTGAGCATCTCATGCCGACCGATCACACCCGCTGTGTGCTCCTTATAATGTAATTTAATAAATTATGAAATACAAAATACGAGCAGAGCGATCACGAACCTCCAAAACATCAAGGATTTGACAAATACCTTGAAGGGCTGAGCATCCCTTATTGACTGGTCACACCTGCCGTGTTATCTTTTTGATGATCGGGAAGCAACGGGAAGACTGTTGTCAAATCAGTATTTGAAATAATGGGCTAATAAGTGGTATAAAAAAAACTCTGCATCTTACTCAATGATATATTGTATTTGCTGACAAGGTCATTGTATAGAACTTACAAAAATGATGATTTTAAACTTTTGGTCAGTAACATACACCTCTTTTAAAAAAGTGTTTATAAGTAGAGCATGATCTTACGTTTCGAATCAATTGAGAAATATAAACGCCGTATGTAGATGGTGAAGGTATATTGCTGCGTAAGCTAGGGAAGTTGACGAGTGAAAACTTTAAGTCATAAAACATAGTTGTTAGATTACCATTGCCAAAAAATAATACACTCAATGAAAACAACATCATGGAACACAAAACTCAGCAATATTCAAATAATTATTAAACATTTTATACAAACAAAATTCCTACTATGAATTGGATTAAAATACACCAGATTTTTTGATTCTGAAGATTTAATATGGCGTACATAAACACAGAAAGTATCAATTAGTATTAATTTTATGGTAAATCAATTCCAATTTTTTTTCACAACGCGAAGATCCAACATTTTCGAAAATAGTCGGTTTTAATTTAGTCTTCTATTTTTCCTGTTCTTTATACTAAGCTCCACGTGACCACATTCTGAATAGCTGCACATGCAACAGAAGTACATGTTGTCCCAACGGGACATTCGGTTGTCTCCGTGAGCAGAAATTTTAAGGAAACTAGGTACCGTGCGTCTGGTTGTACGAGACTATTTCAGAAAGCCTTTGGAAGTAGCCATAACGAAGTATGGATGAAGTTATTTCTGATGACGGATTTCATTGTCTCACCAAATCTAAGTGAAGTAGGTAGAAAACTAGGGATATAAGTCTACCTGACTTATCATACAACGACAGCCATCAAACATTGTGCGTAATCTTTACCGTCATTTGTCGATTTACTGTCCCGAATGTACCCCAGAGGTAGAGATATATAAAAACGAAGGCCGGAAACTAAAAAGGGCACGAGGTCACTGTCCATTATCTTCACCTTTTTATCCCCCTATCAGATCAGTGGCTTACTGCTTCTGCTTAACGTTTGGTTCGTTTCCTGTGAAGATATATTAATGAGCTATTCCCTGATATTTCCCTTTATTCCGTTGATTTGTAAATAATCTGCATTAAGACAAAAAAGCTATCCCGAACAGTTCAGCCACTAATACTGAATTATTAGCGCGCTTCATGAAATATGCCTTCGTGACAAGTCTGTGTGATTCACACACCAATAACTCACACAAAACTAAAAAACATTCCTTAATTGAAAATCATTTTCGTGTATATTCACGCGTAGAAATATACAAGGAGAAACGTGCGTTAACGTGACGTCACAATGAAGATGCAGCGACGTTAGTTAAAGTGCAACAATATAGGGCAGAGAGAAATCCAAATATTTAGCATATTTTAGTTGCTTCCAATTCTGTAAAATGTAAATATAAGGAATGTTTTTCAGTTTAGTGTGAATTATTGGTGTGTGAATCACATATCAATAACTCACACAAAACTGAAAAACATTCCTTAAATATTCTCACCCCAATCATTTTAAGCCTGGGTCAGAAAAAGGCAAGCAAGCAAACATTTTTACAGATCACCCTACGTCTTATTCCGTGTATATCTTATCACAATTCAGTGATATGAGCTAATGACAGATTGTATTTGCTGATAATGTCAGCGTATTGACCATAGAATTTGCAAAACAATGATTCCATATTGAACTTTTGATATCTTTGTCTCAACAACTTTTTGATTAATTTCTTGCATCGTTTTAAAGTTATTCAAAGGTAGAGCATGTCCTTGCACTAAATCAACAGGGACACATAAATCCAGTAGGCAGGTGATGAAGGGTATATTGCTACATAAATAAGGAAATTTGACTTAAGAAAAGTGTAAGTCATAGCGTCTATCATAAAATTTTGTTGTAAGGGTAACAATAAACATCAGAAAAAAGACATATTTTCCGTTTATGGATTAAACTTCTCTAAATCGTTTATGGATTTTTATCTTAAAATATCATCGTATTGACTTTAGGGAGAGTGACCCGTTCTCCTAGCGCTACCATCCTTAATAAAGATTTAACAGGGCCGTGAACTATGTGGAATCAATGAGAAAATTCCCGGCACCTTTATTTAAGGAAATACTTATTTAGTAACTGCGAGACGATTGAATGTTCTATTTTTGCTAAAACGCATTCAATTTCGTATAATATTTTTTTTTAATGAAAAATATACAAAAAAGTAAAATTAATACCTACTTACCCAATGATATTGTTGAAAATAAATATGAGGCTCAAAAATACGTTTGGGTAATTTCTGTTCTACTAGAATAATGTATTATGCAACTAACATGACCATCAAAAGATAATCTAAAAGTTTTAAGAAACATTTTTAATATGTTACTAAATCTATTTTTTCGGAAATTTTGTTGTATGCCTATGCTTTTTGAAAACGCTTCAGAAACTTTTAAGCGAAGTATTTCATATATTGCTGATTTGTTTCGTATTATAACAGACTGCATATATTTACCAAAGCTTGAATGAAAACCGGAAGAGGCACGACGAAGCACAATACCTTTTAATTTTTCTGTCCCCTTTTAGCAGTGTAATTTTCAATAAAGTATTTTTTTTAAGAAATCAAATTCTTCTGCATGTTTATTTAAAAAAAGTTTAAAAGAGATTCAGCAGAGTATTTCTGCAATTATTATCAGAAAAGTCTTGAGATGCTAAGAAAATGTTCAAAGAATATTTATTCTGCAGCTGACCAAGAGCATGGTGCGCGTATAAACAATATTTATTGTAAACTAATAATTCACGTTTATTTTTTTCATCAAAAAGTGAATAAATCTAAAAAAAAATCCAAATTTTTATTATTGATTTGAAATATCTAAACAACTTCTTAACAAATTTATTTATGTTCCTATTCCTGTTTATAATTTTTAAGAGCAACATTTGAACTCCTGACCGTAATTCTAATAACCAAGTGGTGCAGCATAAAAACATTTATTTATTAGATTGCATGGGTTGTACGAGAGAGGGTTTGCATCCCTGCTACACAGTCCCTCTATTAGATCTTTCATTATTACTGCCATTTTTAACCCTAGTCACTCTATCAAGAAACTATGTACGTATGAGCACACTCTGATTTCTGAAAATAAATTTGATTTAGAGTTGATTACAGAAATACAACGTCATGGTTCAATATTAATCTTCAAAACGCCTCTACAGAGATGTATAATGTACATGCAGAAAATAGAACAGTTGATTAGTGCACATCCCATGACACATAATCAAATAATTATTATGTTGAAGAAATTAACATTCTTATTCCTTCAAAACCTTGCTTTTACATTTCCATTACACACGATGAGTTGTGAATCTGGGAACAAACTGAGGTATAGAGCTGACAAGATCTCCAGTAATATGCTGAAATTATAAGCAAGGTTTGTTTGTATCTCTGATTTGTTGTTCATAGCTACGTATTATAACAAGACACTTAGATACATTAAAGCTTTATCTACGATAGATTTGGTAAAGGACAAGTTAGCATACCTATATGTGATGTACATGTTTAATGTAGATAGATGCTGTAGGGGACAGTCTTGGTTTACTAAGATAAGAAAGACTGTCACACGAGATACTGAGTATCACGCTTGAAAATCACCTGTTTTAAAAGGAAACCGCAATCTTTCATCTGGAGTCATAATTTCATAAACATTATAAATTCTGTGGAAGATTGCGCAAGGCGATGGCCCAGATACGAAAAAAATGAAATCAAGACTTTTTCAAAATGTATGAAATAAATTGGATGTATACAAGAATTTAACATTAAGGATTGATGGGCAATATTTAATTCATCATTCCTTCTGTGTTCAATATTACAGAAGTGAAAGAGAATAAGATAGATTACTCGATCAATGTCTACTGGTCCCCGCTGAAAAAACAAGTGTCTTTGTTTGTAAGGCTCATTTTTTACATGTCATTATATTTTTGAGGATCTGGGATTAAATTCTGGCAACTCAACTCATACCAATTTTTCTCTTTTTATGGAAGAAATCTTAAAAATCATATGTAGTTTTGAATATTTTTAGTATTCCCAACAACCAATTAAGCACTGTTTTTTTTTATTTTTGGATGTCGTCAATCCTTATTTGTATTGTTAGATTGGCCTATTGAGCTTGAATACTGTTCATTTTCTCCACATTTAATTTATAAAAAATACATTTAATGGTTACCTAAGTTATACTGGTATATATCGGGACGAGGCGGTTTACGCTTTTCATAAAAACCGGTTTTTAAAGCGTAAATTGCCCAAACCAGGTCATATAGTATAACTTGGTAGCTATTTAATTCATTCTTGTCGACATAAATAAGGAAAGTAGGCGATGGAAAACCTGAAGTCATCCTGTTTGCCATATATGTTTTCTAGCTTTTTGAACAATCGATCTTCTGGGACGTAAAA